TTGTGCAACACTGCAATCTACAGTCCAGTGTGCGGTGGCCTATACAGTGGACATTTATGCCCAGATGGACCCAAATGAACACTGTAGATCTTAATTCAACTCGGTTCGTGTCAAAACAAGACTGGAAAGTTCAGCGGATGGTGAGGTTTACCTCAAAGATGAATCCGAAGCTGACATTCTTTTTTTATTCGCTTCTGCCTTGGGTATTGGGTAGAAAACAACATGCTCTACTCTGTCAGAGTATCGAGTGTCTTCTATAAGCCACTGCAGGCACATCTTCTGACATAAATCAAATAGCTCACATATCTGGAGCTTCAAGTCTTTTCAAGAGAGATGCTGCTAAAGAACTGAAAGCTTGGCTGAGGTAATGGCAGATAACAATGATTAAGCAGGGACTGGAGGGCTAGGAAGAAGAGGCAAGGCTTGGAATTGCATTGAAGAAGCAGAGGTGATTATGCCTAAAGAAGCAGACGTCCCCAAAACGTGGGCCTGAATGCAGGTGCATGGCTCGTGTACCCAGATGTTACACTACTTACTCAACTCTTAACACAGGTACATTAAGGATTCTACTGTATAAATGACTCGAATCACCAACGTCTCTTCACAATCGTACGAATGTGCTTCATTTCTTCAAGTATTTCTTTGCGGATGACTCACTAATAAATTCACTGCCTTTCCAGTTAGCGTATGAGAATGCCAGGCCTAATGGCTTTTCGGGCTTAACACGCACAAACAGCAGCCGTGCCTCGCAGCCTCACCATTAACACAGTTAATCCCACGTCTTCAAGGAGCCCGAGTAAAAACGTTCCTTGCAGGCGGCTTCTCACAACAAGCTCCAGCGATACAGTACATGAATAAATTACAGAGATAATTAAAGGAAATGTCAACGCAGGGCTGGATGGAGCGTTATTAATGATGGCCGGGTTGTGTTAAAGTATCCTGGGCCGGAGTGAGCATGATTAATGTGTGTTTAATGGCGGAGGGGAAGAATACGCCGGCTTTAATAAAGAGAGCTTATTTCACCGGGCCCTGCCTCTGGAATTGACCCGAGCTCAACACCCAGGAGGGCCGAAATTCGACCTTTCTAAAGGTCTAATCTTCCATTTCAGGTGGGAGATTTATTGTGAACAACAGTTATACAGGAGTGATATGAGCAATTTCTAAATAAAAGCGCTGGAAAGGTAGTGGTGGGTTTTCTCACGTAAATCCTTGTTATTTTGTAATGCATGTAAATAAGCAGATTATGGAATATATATTATATTATTGCAATGTAGGCCTACTGTGTGCACAATATATGGGCTATGCACAGAAAAGAAACTACTGGGTTTGCAACTGTGGGTCTCAATCCCATTTATGGAGCCAATTCTGTGGTTTCCCTGCTGTTACACAGCTGACTTAGCCCATGAAGGGCTTAGTAATCACTGGATGAGTTGAAATAAGTGTGTTAAATCAGTGAAAACCTAAAAACGAGCAGTACAGGAGGTCGGAGCAGCTTTGCCTTATAGAATGCTGGGGGGGAAATAGTTCTGTTTAGTGTTAGAACATTTCACAGAGACATAATTAGAGGGGACACAACTCGGATCGGATTTTTGTAAAGGAGTTTAAAGGAACGTCCACATTTTATGGCTTGCCATCTATAGACCCCCATGAAGAAACAGTGCAAGGAAACCAACAGCAACATTAAGATATTTACATTTACATTTATTAATTTAGTGGATACTAAACCCTCTACAGCACACATTATGAGAGCAATTAAAAAATACATTCAATTCACTTTTTTGCATGAAAATGGTACCTGATTTGTTTTTTTGGACCTGTTTATTAAATTCAAAAACATAAAAAATTATAGTAATAATGTGCACAGGGGTCCTTTTGGAGTATGTTGCCTTGAGGTAACATTGTGCGACAATGGGAGGAAATGGTATAGATCCATGTTCCCTGAAGTGGTGAGACCTGCCTTGTGACTGGCTAAATCCATTCTACTGTTGCACAATGTTGCTTCTAGGCAACAAACATATTTCTGCAAATTCTCATAACAAAAAAAGTGATACTGAATGTTGAAAAAGAGGTATAAAAGTGCCCACTAAGAGAGAGTGTGACCAAGTACACACTTTTTATTGACTTACTCAAACTCTTCCCTTTATTGTTTACCCTGTCATTGCCTTTAAATAAGCATAATGTTAGCGTAAAGTGAGGAAAATGGGCTTGTTGCCCTGAGGCAACATTGTGCAATAGAGGGTTAAGGAGAACTCCAGTGATCAAAATTTGTGCATAACTGGTTCACTGTAGAAAAGACCACTGACTCTCCTGTTTCTTTACAGTGGTAGTGATAGGAAGCAAGGTCTGCACAAATATAGCCTTTAATTTACTGTCCAAAATGACCAGTGAACCTCTGTTTCTTCTGAGTTTTTATATGGAATGTTAAGTGCTATAGCCAAAAAAAGTTTTGTTTGGGGACTGTTTTGTCTTCCCTACTGAAAAAATTAAAACATGAAATGTTTTTTTGGTTCCTGGTGATTTTGTTGTGCTTTTTTTGCTTCTCGTGATGGGTTGATATCAAAATCTAAGATCTTCATGGTTTAGGAGGTGACCTGTGACTGATTCTAGATGCATTAGATGTTTTTTCTAATAGGATCTAACATTGTTCTACAGGAGTCCGGTAGTCGTTACTGGCAACAAACTAAACTATCAGGTTTTAATCCCAATGTTCCTAATGGTCTTTTTTCAGCATGGTTATGACATCCTGCATGTATTTTACTTTTACCCAGGGGCAAGACGATGGCAGCCCACTGGCTTTTTGCTCAGCGTTTTGCGGGTGGCCGTCAGTACTTAAGCAGAGTGTTAGACAAAATGCCACTTTTTTAATTGCTCCTTTTGCCATCACAGTCCAATTTACTTAATTTCCCTTCATTTCGGTCTTTTGTTATCCTTGTAAATAGGTTTAGTAAATAATTATAACAGTAACAGCACAGCTGTGAGCAATCCAGCACAATCCAGCAGTCGTGGGCTGGACGTTAGGGAACCAGCCTTGTGACCAGAAGGTCGCCAGTTCAATCTGGCAACCTGAGCCAACAGTACGTGACTGAGGTGCCCTTGAGCAAGGCACCTAACCACCAACTGCTCCCCGGGTGCTGTGGATAGGGCTGCCCACTGCTCTGGGCAAGTGTGCTCACTGCCCCCTAGTGTGTGTGTTCGCTAGTGTGTATGTGGTGTTTCACTGCACAGTTGGATTAAATGCAGAGGTGAAATTTCCCCGTTCTGGGACTAATAAAGGTCACTTAATCACAATGTCAGTAAGAAAATCATTTTATAATTAGGCCTACTCTTTTTTCCTCTCTCAATTATCATTTTCTTAGTTTATTTTCCAAAATAAAAGTCTGTGTATTTAAAACCTGTTTGAGGAGATTAAAACTAGTTAGATCTTGTATGCAAGTAATCTGGGTGGTCCGAGGGTGGACCAGCAGTGGGATACAGTCAGCAGAGGACCGACCTTATGAAGCCAGCGGACCGATATATGCTTGCAATCTTCCCTGCCGAAAAAAAAATAAGTGAAAACAATAAAAGGTTCTGTTCCTGGTGGTGAGCAATAGTCAGTAATGGTATTTTGCGCTGTCCTGATGGGTTAATATCACAGTGTAAAGGATTTTATTGGTTTAAAAGATGCTCTGTGACCCATTTCAAATGGGATCTAAAGGGGTCCTACAGGAAATGGGTGTTTTTTAAAAGGTAGCTATTAAGCCAATTGCCATTTACAAGCAAAACCATCAGGTTTTGATGTTTTAGCACGCTTAGCTTGGCTAGCCCTGGGTGGATTTTAAGATGTCTTAGACAGAAACTCACAAAACTATCAGGCATCAGGCAGCTGGTGTATGGGTCATTCTACAGAAACGTCCACTTTTCTATCTGTCCATAGGAGTCACTGGTGTTCCACATAATAAAGGAACACCAGAGACATTTTTAATGAAAAATGCATTTAACTAAATGACTGCTACAGAGCATCAAACCACATGTTGTCAATCATGGAATATCCACTAAAATATGAAATTTAATACATTTGTATTCTATTTTTTCACAATGACCTCAGAATAAAGTCGGTCACACCAGTGACTTCAGCTAAAAGCTTCATATGAAATCATGAGCTAAATGAGAAAATCTCTGATAACTGAAAGACACAGTGGACTCACCATGAGCTTTTCTTCATAGATCCTCAGAAAATAGGTAAAAGGAAGTCAAGTGATGTCATCAGTGTGACTTTTATTTCAAAATAAGAGAGTTTTTGTTATGCAGTAACACCAGTGACACGACTCCTGGGGACAACAACTTTGATTATATATTTTATAATATTTATTCGTTTCTTTAATGTCATTTAAATCATATATTCCATAGTCATGTATAGATTATTGCAGTTAAAATAGCAGAAAAACATGTTTTTTACCTCAAAATATGGCCTCAGCCTTCACACATGACTGAGGACGAGCTCCTCTGTGGTGCTTGGAATTCTATATGATTGATTTAAAAACCAATATTGTTAAATTGATGGATCAAGAAGGTGTAATTGTTAAAATAACTAAAAAATATATAAATAAATTGTAACTCTAACATGTTTTTCATGTGTAGTAGATCTGTAAAGGCTAGGGACACAAGAATGGACGTTTCTGTAGAATGATAAGTTTCTGTGAGACAGCTTTTAAAGGCGTTCAACTCTTCAGACGTCTGGTTCCCATCACCACCACTGTGAACCATTCTGACTCTCTCCAGTTTCTCTAATACCAACGATTTAATCACGTAGAAAGGTTGAAGAATCCGCGGAAACCCCCCTTTACCTCCTTCAACAAGTCTCATTTTTTTCTGGTCAGCTGGTGGCGCCGTTGCTCGTCGATTCTCGTCGCCTTTTCTCTCTCTCTTCACTCTTCTCCCCTCCTGCTCGTCTCCAGGCTGACTCGACCCACAGAATGTAAATCCAGGCGCACACAACGTCTCCTTCTGTCTCCATGGCCAGGACTCCAGCGGCTGAGGCTCGGTGAGACCGGAGGAGGGGTTTGTTTGTGTCCGCGTCCCTCAGCGGTGACCGGAGCCCGTTAACGGCTCTCGCTTCCTCCGGTCGTTGGAGCCGTGGAGCGTTTTTGTGGAGGTGAGGAACCGAGAGGAGGGGAAAGGGGGCGTTTTTCTGCTGCCCCCTCACACCTACCTGCCTGCCTCCTGGCTTGGCTAGCTCAACACACCCCGCGTTTTGTCCTCGCTCTCCGGGCTCCCTCACTCTCAGGAGCCTCGGGGTGCCTCGCTGGTGACCGCACACCGGTGCCTACCATGTCCGCCTCACTCAGCGTCCTCTCTCGCCTGTGGAGCGCAGACTGAAGACCGCTCGGACGGAGGAAAACACGGCGTTTAGTTGGGTGAAGTGCGATTTTGTTTCCATTTCCATTTCCCCCTCACGCGTTAGCTTTGAAGTCGTCGCACGCGCATACCGTCTCATTCATTCAGCCTTTCACATCAAGGACTTCATTCACAACCTAGCAGCCCTAACGGCTCACAGCACCGCTCCTAATTAGGCTTTGTCGAGGCGAGGACCCGCTGGCTGTTCACGTTGTGTACCTGTGCTGTGTGATGTGTTGTTGTGTCGACATGGATGGAGGGGCTTTGTATTAACTACTAACGAGGGACCCCGAGGTGCAGTGATTTCAGTAAATGTGGACGGAGGGTCTTTTCCACAGCTTGGCGTTGGCGCCACTGCAGAGAAGTTCCTGTAGCCACCTAACCTTACTGCGCAGATGCTGCACAAACACACAGGTATGCCTGCATTTTTAAAGCTGCCCCCAAGGCACAAGGCAGTCGACCCCTGTGAGCGCCTGTCCATTTAAACCCTGTTTGATTCAGAGGGATGGGGGTGGGGGGGGGGTGAGGAAGGGTGAGGAGGAGGGGGGGGCACAGATTGATCCAGACTGCAGCAAGGTCCAGAACTCAGTGCTGGCTCTCCTTTGTGAGGCCAGCTGGAAGCCTTTCCTCCAGAGAACTTCTCTGTGCCGATGCCGGTGCTGATGCTGAGGCTCTCCGTGATTCAGCCTAGATCGTATTCTCCTCAGCTGGCCAAGAGGGGCCTGACCACTTCCTCCAGAAATGCTGCTTGTAATATGCTTCTGAATATTTAATGGGCAGGGATGGTTTCTGATTTCACCTGAATTATTCATCAGAGGAATACGTTACCTGTGAGAAGCTCTCGTTGGAGTTAAGTCAACAAAACGGCCAAGAACTATTTCTCATTTTGACCCAGGTTACATTTGGAATTCGGTCCTAACACGAGCGAGGCAGCTGTGCTGGTCAATACCAGGAGAAGGCATAACGGCAATGTCCATAACAGCCTCTTTCTACAGTGGTTATCTTGTAGAAAGGCTGCTCGAGAACTGATTCATAGCAGGTTCATTCCTTTTTGCACTCAGCTAGTATGGTTGAGTTCTCACTATATCACTGTTTACTCTCCGATGCTGGTATTGAGTCCTTGAATATCGTCTGATTCCGATCCAAAGCTTTAAAATGAGCTGTTTTTAATTGAAGCACTTCATTTAAGACGAGCATCTAAAAGCAGGCTAAGCAGTTCAAACTGCTCAAACACTTTACTGCCCCACAGGAAGAAATGCACAGCTAACAATGCAATTTGTTATGATTGAATTGGATTCATTCCTTTTTTTTCCCTCTGATATCCGATCCAGCATTTTCTGCTGACATCAGCCCAGTTTAAAAGATGTCTTTATTGTTGTATCTCTTTGTTGAGTATGCTAATTTATTCATAGCATTGCAAAATGAAATAAAAAAATCACATGGAACAATTTTACTCCAATATGTCAGACACAGACGACACTCCAGCAGAGTTGTTGAATGTTGTTGGTTGCAGCCGTTCTTTTAAACCCTCGGTGGCCGAGTGGACCATGGGAATGGAATCCTTAAGGAGGTTTATTAGTTGAGTGGTGGTGTAGAATTTGAATGGATTGTGGGTACTGAAACCACTCGTAGTTTCCTTTTTTTCCGTCCTAATGAGTGTCTTTGGCTTAAGGGAGCATGTTTAATGAAGGGAGCGTGTCCCCTCGTAATTACCACGTAGTGCTTAGCCTAGCAGCTAAGCGTAGCTCAGTGTTTAGTGTAGATGAACTTGTGACAGGCATGAAATCCTTACTTTGAGTTGAGTTTTGGCATATTCTACATTGCATGCAGGGTGGCCGGAAGCTTTATGAGCAAATTCAACTGCACTGGCTTTCCCAAACATTTTGCACCTCAAAGAACACCATGAAGTAACTTGTAATAGGCTTAAAAGACTTACCCAGAGCAAGGGATGCACCAATATGGGAGCTGTGGGCCAATACCGATGATATTTTCCATGCATGTGTCTCCTGATGCCGGTGCTGATATACAAACGTTCAATGAAAACAGGGACTAGATTCACTTAGAGTAGCATTACAGAAATATTAAACACTTGTTTCCAGTAAGATATGAATGCAGTAAAATAAATACAAACAATTTTGTGATGTAAGGCCACCATCGCCTAAACATTGTGTTAAAAATTGAGTAAAATTATCAAGTTTCAGTTTGTATTATTGGCCAAATCTAAACATCTGTTTGATGGCACTATTTTTAAATGATCAATAAGACATCGTTGTGCATTCCTACCAAAAATATTGCAGTGATTTCAGTAAATGTGGACAGAGAGTCTTTTCCACGGCTTGGCGTTGGCGCCACTGCAGAGAAGTTCCTGTAGCCACGTAACCTTAGTAGGTTAGCCTGCATTTTTAAAGCAGCCCCCAAGGCACAAGGCAGTCGACCCCTGTGAGCGCCTGTCCATTTACACCCTGTTACGCAGAACAGGGATGCACCAATACGGGAGCTGATGCCAGTGCTGATATACAAACGTTACAAAGAAACAGGGACTGGATCCACTTCGACAAGCATTACAGAGAAATGTAACACTTATTCCTGTAAAGATATGAATGCAGTAAAATAAATAAAATACAAACAATTTTGTGTTGTAGTCCAGCATCGCCTAAACATTGTCGCAGTTATTTCTTGTAATTTTACAATAATCGTTAGCCTAGGTGTTCCAAAAGGATTGTTTATAGGAGAAAGCCACCTGAGGCTGGCAGCCTAGATGCCAGACAGGTTTGTTAATGAAAGAACGCTCAAATGGTCCTGAATTGAAGTGTACTTTTGTCTGTAAAGCAAAGACACATGTAGATTGTGCTGGTAAGAATAAAGAATTTGATCGAAACTATGCTTTTTTTATATATATTTGAGAAAATCTTGATTTGAAGAACGCAATCCCATCTGCTTGTTTGATGCACCTGCTCGGATTTCTTGTCGCTGATGAAAAGCAAGAACTTGTTGGAATTCCGGTGGGCAGATTACATTGTCACTGTGCTCTTTGTCATATTAAATTTGCAAGTCTTTGCACTACAGCATCCTTGCTTTTGTGCAGTCAGCAGCAGGCCGCACACGCCGAAGCTGTTTGAAATCAGATTTGTCGGCCACAGGTGGACCCTTTTTATTCTCTCCTGCATCTCCCCCTCATAGTGTTCGAATAGACGTGTGATTAAGGTGTAGATGTGTGATGTGCTATTTAATCACTGTGGACAACAAATCTATTTTGTCAAAGGGTTTTTTTTATATTTCAGGCCGGTTCAGTTTCACTTGTTGCAGTCCACTCATTTCCGTGCTTCTCCAGATGAAAGACTGATGGATTTGGGTTGTGACTAGCAGTAAAACTTTCTACTTATTGTTTTCACACCTTTAGCGTTTGAAACGGGGCTGCTTGTACATGCTGGTCCTGTCAGGAGGGCTTGAGAAAGAGCCATCTTCTACGCGTTCGAGGCTAAACCAATGTGTCACTATTAGATCCAGTTGTCATCTGTTTTGATGTAAAATGCCTGCGGGCGAGGAGAGAGGAAGAGAGCGAAGGGTGATTAGCGCGAATCCCTCGCCTTTGTGTATTCTTCCCCCGCTGCTGCCTCTTTCATTTGCTATTTCGGTGGTGTGCTCCAGCATCCGTAGAGGCCGCTCTCTGGTACGAGAGAGAGAGGCTGATAGGCTGTTATTAATGGCTTTGTGTCATAGCAGGGCTGAAACACTCACTCATCACTACCTGGGATTTATTCCGTTACGCCCGCCATAACTATTATTCATAGTCGCACAGCGGTCATCGGCATATAGCTCTTTGTACGAGGCTCTCTTTTATAGATGGGGTCAGCTTTGTGCAGTGTTGCCCCTGAATATATGTGGCAATAGCAATTGTCTACTTGGCATTGGCAGTTGACACAGGTTGATATGTTATGAAACGGCCCTCTAACGGCATTTGTTGCTGCGTTAAACGGACATAATAGATATTCATGGCTTTTTTTCCCCAGCCTCATTTCATGTGTCATCAACCCGGTGAAAGAATTAAATAAATGAATACAAATATAACATCTGTCCTCACCAAATTGCTCTCCACAATTCAGTAATTGAGAAAATCACTCAATCTGACCATTACGCAAAGATGTGCCTTTATATAAGCGGCAGCATCCCCCCCCAAAAAACACGGCAGCCCGGTCTAGCTTGTGAATAATGCAGAATAAAAGCATGTTGGATCAATAATGCCGTGTAATGAATGCATTAGATATGAATATTTGACCGAAGATCTGGAGTATGACCAGATTCATTTCTCATTCATAGGCTGTAATTCAGCAGAGCCAGGATCCGTAATTGTTCAGCCTATAACTGCTCGAGAGCTTTTTTTTAAAAAGGGGAGACCTTGTAATTTAAGGTCAGAGTAATATTTCAAAGCTGTGTTTTATGACAACTTGACTTCTCTATCCTTTGGGGGCTTTGAGCAAAGTAATTCAAGAATCTTTGAAATGCAAGTACAAAAGCGTTAAATTGTTTATTCAAATGTGGTTTAAAGGAGCGCTCCAGTTTTTTTCCCTTAATATCAGGATCTTTCCTTTCATAATAATAATTATAAGAACAATATCATGGTGATCAATGGTGATAAGGTGAAAAGTTTATGAGTATGTTCCCCTCACTGGTTCCCCATGAAAGCACTGCAGAGTAGTTCTGGCTTCTGCCGAGGATGTAGTGGGGTGGGCGATATGGCATAAAATATTATATCTCGAT